ACCCAGGAGACATGGTGGAGATCTGTCTTCCTGGCTGCCCCTCTTCACTCTGGCTTCAGAGTGTCAGTTGGTGCTGGGGGGAGGGGCTCCCAGCCGATGACCCAGGAGACATGGTGGAGATCTGTCTTCCTGGCTGCCCCTCTTCACTCTGGCTTCAGAGTGTCAGTTGGTGCTGGGGGGAGGGGCTCCCAGCCGATGACCCAGGAGACATGGTGGAGATCTGTCTTCCTGGCTGCCCCTCTTCACTCTGGCTTCAGAGTGTCAGTTGGTGCTGGGGGGAGGGGCTCCCAGCCGATGACCCAGGAGACATGGTGGAGATCTGTCTTCCTGGCTGCCCCTCTTCACTCTGGCTTCAGAGTGTCAGTTGGTGCTGGGGGGAGGGGCTCCCAGCCGATGACCCAGGAGACATGGTGGAGATCTGTCTTCCTGGCTGCCCCTCTTCACTCTGGCTTCAGAGTGTCAGTTGGTGCTGGGGGGAGGGGCTCCCAGCCGATGACCCAGGAGACATGGTGGAAATCTGTCTTCCTGGCTGCCCCTCTTCACTCTGGCTTCAGAGTGTCAGTTGGTGCTGGGGGGAGGGGCTCCCAGCCGATGACCCAGGAGACATGGTGGAGATCTGTCTTCCTGGCTGCCCCTCTTCACTCTGGCTTCAGAGTGTCAGTTGGTGCTGGGGGGAGGGGCTCCCAGCCGATGACCCAGGAGACATGGTGGAGATCTGTCTTCCTGGCTGCCCCTCTTCACTCTGGCTTCAGAGTGTCAGTTGGTGCTGGGGGGAGGGGCTCCCAGCCGATGACCCAGGAGACATGGTGGAGATCTGTCTTCCTGGCTGCCCCTCTTCACTCTGGCTTCAGAGTGTCAGTTGGTGCTGGGGGGAGGGGCTCCCAGCCGATGACCCAGGAGACATGGTGGAGATCTGTCTTCCTGGCTGCCCCTCTTCACTCTGGCTTCAGAGTGTCAGTTGGTGCTGGGGGGAGGGGCTCCCAGCCGATGACCCAGGAGACATGGTGGAAATCTGTCTTCCTGGCTGCCCCTCTTCACTCTGGCTTCAGAGTGTCAGTTGGTGCTGGGGGGAGGGGCTCCCAGCCGATGACCCAGGAGACATGGTGGAGATCTGTCTTCCTGGCTGCCCCTCTTCACTCTGGCTTCAGAGTGTCAGTTGGTGCTGGGGGGAGGGGCTCCCAGCCGATGACCCAGGAGACATGGTGGAGATCTGTCTTCCTGGCTGCCCCTCTTCACTCTGGCTTCAGAGTGTCAGTTGGTGCTGGGGGGAGGGGCTCCCAGCCGATGACCCAGGAGACATGGTGGAAATCTGTCTTCCTGGCTGCCCCTCTTCACTCTGGCTTCAGAGTGTCAGTTGGTGCTGGGGGGAGGGGCTCCCAGCCGATGACCCAGGAGACATGGTGGAGATCTGTCTTCCTGGCTGCCCCTCTTCACTCTGGCTTCAGAGTGTCAGTTGGTGCTGGGGGGAGGGGCTCCCAGCCGATGACCCAGGAGACATGGTGGAAATCTGTCTTCCTGGCTGCCCCTCTTCACTCTGGCTTCAGAGTGTCAGTTGGTGCTGGGGGGAGGGGCTCCCAGCCGATGACCCAGGAGACATGGTGGAGATCTGTCTTCCTGGCTGCCCCTCTTCACTCTGGCTTCAGAGTGTCAGTTGGTGCTGGGGGGAGGGGCTCCCAGCCGATGACCCAGGAGACATGGTGGAAATCTGTCTTCCTGGCTGCCCCTCTTCACTCTGGCTTCAGAGTGTCAGTTGGTGCTGGGGGGAGGGGCTCCCAGCCGATGACCCAGGAGACATGGTGGAAATCTGTCTTCCTGGCTGCCCCTCTTCACTCTGGCTTCAGAGTGTCAGTTGGTGCTGGGGGGAGGGGCTCCCAGCCGATGACCCAGGAGACATGGTGGAGATCTGTCTTCCTGGCTGCCCCTCTTCACTCTGGCTTCAGAGTGTCAGTTGGTGCTGGGGGGGAGGGGCTCCCAGCCGATGACCCAGGAGACATGGTGGAAATCTGTCTTCCTGGCTGCCCCTCTTCACTCTGGCTTCAGAGTGTCAGTTGGTGCTGGGGGGAGGGGCTCCCAGCCGATGACCCAGGAGACATGGTGGAGATCTGTCTTCCTGGCTGCCCCTCTTCACTCTGGCTTCAGAGTGTCAGTTGGTGCTGGGGGGAGGGGCTCCCAGCCGATGACCCAGGAGACATGGTGGAAATCTGTCTTCCTGGCTGCCCCTCTTCACTCTGGCTTCAGAGTGTCAGTTGGTGCTGGGGGGAGGGGCTCCCAGCCGATGACCCAGGAGACATGGTGGAGATCTGTCTTCCTGGCTGCCCCTCTTCACTCTGGCTTCAGAGTGTCAGTTGGTGCTGGGGGGAGGGGCTCCCAGCCGATGACCCAGGAGACATGGTGGAGATCTGTCTTCCTGGCTGCCCCTCTTCACTCTGGCTTCAGAGTGTCAGTTGGTGCTGGGGGGAGGGGCTCCCAGCCGATGACCCAGGAGACATGGTGGAAATCTGTCTTCCTGGCTGCCCCTCTTCACTCTGGCTTCAGAGTGTCAGTTGGTGCTGGGGGGAGGGGCTCCCAGCCGATGACCCAGGAGACATGGTGGAAATCTGTCTTCCTGGCTGCCCCTCTTCACTCTGGCTTCAGAGTGTCAGTTGGTGCTGGGGGGAGGGGCTCCCAGCCGATGACCCAGGAGACATGGTGGAGATCTGTCTTCCTGGCTGCCCCTCTTCACTCTGGCTTCAGAGTGTCAGTTGGTGCTGGGGGGAGGGGCTCCCAGCCGATGACCCAGGAGACATGGTGGAGATCTGTCTTCCTGGCTGCCCCTCTTCACTCTGGCTTCAGAGTGTCAGTTGGTGCTGGGGGGAGGGGCTCCCAGCCGATGACCCAGGAGACATGGTGGAGATCTGTCTTCCTGGCTGCCCCTCTTCACTCTGGCTTCAGAGTGTCAGTTGGTGCTGGGGGGAGGGGCTCCCAGCCGATGACCCAGGAGACATGGTGGAGATCTGTCTTCCTGGCTGCCCCTCTTCACTCTGGCTTCAGAGTGTCAGTTGGTGCTGGGGGGAGGGGCTCCCAGCCGATGACCCAGGAGACATGGTGGAAATCTGTCTTCCTGGCTGCCCCTCTTCACTCTGGCTTCAGAGTGTCAGTTGGTGCTGGGGGGAGGGGCTCCCAGCCGATGACCCAGGAGACATGGTGGAGATCTGTCTTCCTGGCTGCCCCTCTTCACTCTGGCTTCAGAGTGTCAGTTGGTGCTGGGGGGAGGGGCTCCCAGCCGATGACCCAGGAGACATGGTGGAGATCTGTCTTCCTGGCTGCCCCTCTTCACTCTGGCTTCAGAGTGTCAGTTGGTGCTGGGGGGAGGGGCTCCCAGCCGATGACCCAGGAGACATGGTGGAGATCTGTCTTCCTGGCTGCCCCTCTTCACTCTGGCTTCAGAGTGTCAGTTGGTGCTGGGGGGAGGGGCTCCCAGCCGATGACCCAGGAGACATGGTGGAGATCTGTCTTCCTGGCTGCCCCTCTTCACTCTGGCTTCAGAGTGTCAGTTGGTGCTGGGGGGAGGGGCTCCCAGCCGATGACCCAGGAGACATGGTGGAAATCTGTCTTCCTGGCTGCCCCTCTTCACTCTGGCTTCAGAGTGTCAGTTGGTGCTGGGGGGAGGGGCTCCCAGCCGATGACCCAGGAGACATGGTGGAAATCTGTCTTCCTGGCTGCCCCTCTTCACTCTGGCTTCAGAGTGTCAGTTGGTGCTGGGGGGAGGGGCTCCCAGCCGATGACCCAGGAGACATGGTGGAGATCTGTCTTCCTGGCTGCCCCTCTTCACTCTGGCTTCAGAGTGTCAGTTGGTGCTGGGGGGAGGGGCTCCCAGCCGATGACCCAGGAGACATGGTGGAGATCTGTCTTCCTGGCTGCCCCTCTTCACTCTGGCTTCAGAGTGTCAGTTGGTGCTGGGGGGAGGGGCTCCCAGCCGATGACCCAGGAGACATGGTGGAGATCTGTCTTCCTGGCTGCCCCTCTTCACTCTGGCTTCAGAGTGTCAGTTGGTGCTGGGGGGAGGGGCTCCCAGCCGATGACCCAGGAGACATGGTGGAGATCTGTGTGTGTGTATATATATATATATAAATGTAATGTATATTATATAATTATATATACACACTATATAATACAATAAAATATAATAAAATTAGGTAAAGGCAGGTGGGAGAACCACTATATATATTTATTTATTATTTATTTTATTTATTTATTTGTTGACCGCCGTTCTCAGCCCTTCCGGGCGACTCACAGCGGTGTACAACATATAAAAGACAATTTACAATAAAGCACTAACACAACGAAATATCATCCTAACTATCAATAATACACTAGCAATATAATTACACTAAAATAATCCGCTCCGTCTCATCGTAGAATCGTAACCAATCTCATAATCCATATTCCGTTCCAGTCGTCATTGTCTGTTATTATAGCACTTAGTTAAATGCCTTCTCGAATAACCATGTCTTTAGGCTCTTACGGAATGACATAAGGGAGGGCGCCTGTCTGATGTCTACAGGGAGGGTGTTCCACAGCCGGGGGCCACCACCGAGAAGGCCCTGTCCCTCGTCCCCGCCAGACGTGCCTGTGAGGCAGGCGGGATCGAGAGAAGGGCCTCCCCAGATGATCTCAAGGCCCTCGTGGGCTCATAGGCCGAGATGCGGTCAAAAAGGTATTTTGGGCTGGAACCGTTTAGGGCTTTGTAGGCCAACACCAGCACCTTAAATTGGGCCCGGTAGCAGATCAGCAGCCAGTGTGTGTGTATATATATATATATATATATACACACACACACACACAGCATATAAATATACACATACACACGGTATATATAGATATAGTCTTTGGTGGCTGGATTTGTGTTGAAGATCCCATTGGCCGCAGATGCAGGAGAACGCCAGGAGAGAATGCTACTGGAACATGGCCACGCAGCCATTGTTCCATTGTTGTTGTTTTGCCTGTGTGGTTCCTTCCAGGGCGATGATCCCTTCCACTTCCCCGGACGTTTTGCTGGACGCCGAGGGACCCTTTCCGCTCCCGGATCACGCCTATTACGGGGCCTGGGACCCCCAAGGGCCCCTCCAGGTGGGCCCCAGCCCCACAATCAATTATGATGATTATGATTATTATTTCCCTTCTACATCATTTTTTTCCCTTTAGTATTGTGACTTTTCCAATTACGATTTCAGGTGCAAAGTGGGCTATAAATCCAATCAATCAATCAGTAAATTGATCAGTCCGTCAATCAATCCATCTCGTGCCTTTTCCTTTCGTGTTATGACTTTGCAGATTACGATTTCAGACGCAGAGTGGGCTATACAGCCAATCAATTCATCAATCAATCAATTTTGTGCACTTTCTTTAAGTGTTGTGACTTTGTAGATTGCAATTTCAGGTACAAAGTTGGTGATACAGCCAATCTATAAATGTATCAATCAATCAATCAATCAATCAATTCATCAACCAATCAATCAATCAATCAGATTATCGATCAATTAGTCTGGTGCCTTTTCTTTTAGTGTTGTGACTTCACAGATTGCAATTTCAGGTGCAGAATGGGCTATGCAACCAATCAATTCATCAATCAATCAATCAATCTTGTGCCTTTTCCTTTAGTGTTGTGACTTTGCAAGTTGCAATTTCTGGTTCAAAGTGGGTGATGCAGCCAATCAATCAATTCACCAATCAATCAATCTTGTGCCTTTTCCTTTAGTGTTGTGACTTTGCAGGTTGCAATTTTAGGTTCAAAGTGGGCGATACGGCCAATCAATCAGTTCATCAATCAGTCTTGTGCCTTTTCCTTTAGTGTTGTGACTTTGTGGATTCAAAGAGGGCGATACAACCAATCGATCAATTCATCAATCGATCAATTCATCAATCGATCAATTCATCAATCAATCAGTCTGATGCCTTTTCCTTTAGTGTTGTGACTTTGTAGATTACATTTTCTGGTTCAAAGTGGGTGATACAGCCAATCAATCAATTCATCAATCAATCAGTCTGGTGCCTTTTCCTTTAGTGTTGTGACCTTGTGGATTCAAAGTGGGTGATACAGCCAATCAATCAATTCATCAATCAATCAATTCACCAATCAATCGGTCTGGTGCCTTTTCCTGTAGTGTTGTGACTTTGTGGACTCAAAGTGGGTGATACAGCCAATCGATCAATTCATCAATCAATCAATTCATCAATCAATCAGTCTGGTGTTGTGACTTTGTAGATTACAATTTCAGGTTCAAAGTGGGTGATACAGCCAATCAATCAATTCATCAATCAATCAATCAATCAATTCATCAATCAGTTCACCAATCAATCAGTCTGGTGCCTTTTCCTTTAGTGTTGTAATGTGTTAGATTGCAATTTCAGGCTCGGAGTGGTCAATACATGGAATCAAGTCCAAAACACCAGCAGGCTATCGACTTAATAATTCATTCAATCAATCGATCGATCAATTCCATCGCAGGCTCCAGGCGGTGGCGAGGATGAAGACGATCTCCTCTTGCTGCTCATTGACCCCAATGTGGCCTGCGACCCCCACGGTCCGGAGAGCGACAGCGGGATCTCGGACGACCCCCGGGCCGAGTCCCCCAATCCGAGATACGCGGAGGCGCAAGGCCCATCGTCCACGGCTGTCTGCGAGGTCGTCTGTGACTCCGGAGGGGCGCCTTTCCCCGACGTCGCTTTTGCAGGGACACTCGGTACGTTTTCCGGGTATCCGTTCCGGGTTGCAGTCTGAACTGGTCTAGATGCCCTCTGGGGATCCCTTTCAGCCCTCCTCCTCCTTTCTGATTGCATCCCCTTGCCTTTGACAGGGACCTGGACTCCGCAAACCATCATCCCTGGGGATGGAGCCCCCTCTGCAGAGCAGGTGAGCAGCCGGACGGGCTTTGCGCCGCATCAAGTCCACACAGCTGTTTAAAGCAGTATCAAACTGGGTTAATTCCCCGCAGGCCCTGACGGAAGAAGAGCACCGCTTGCTGGCCCAGGAAGGGGTCTCTCTCCAGGGGGGGCGGCCCCTCTCCAAGGTGCGTCCCTCTCCACTCCAAGTCCCATGGCGCCGAAGGGGACGCTGGGAGATGTAGTCCCTCCATTTCCCACCTGCAATGTTTTCATCACAGGTGGAGGAACGCATCCTGAAGAAGGTCCGGAGGAAGATCCGGAACAAGCGCTCGGCCCAGGACAGCCGCCGGCGCAAGAAGGAGTACGTCAACGGCCTGGAGAACCGGTGAGCGCAGGGCGTGGGAGACGTAGTTCACTATGGGCCATTTCCTTTAGTGTAGTGACATTATTATTATTATTTATGGCATATACATAACAACATAGCACCCATGCAAATTAGGTCCAAGTGTCTCGGATTCGGCTCTGAATATTGCAAGGGCTTATTATTATTATTATTATTGTTATTATTATATTACATTACATTATTATATATTATTATATTACATTGCATTATATTATAATTATATTACATTACATTATTATATTAATAATATAATAATGTCAATGTAATACAATATAATAAAATAATTATAATAAGTATATTACATTGCATTATTATTATATTACATTATTGTTTACATTATATTATTTCATATTATTATATTACATTGACATTATTATATATTATTAGATTACATTATATTATTATATTATTATTTTATATTATTAGATTACATTGACATTATTATATTATTATTAGATTACATTGCATTATTATTATATTACATTATTATATTACATTATATTATTATATTATTAGATTACATTGCATTATATAATAATTATATTACATTACATTATTATATATCATTATATAACATTGCATTAGTATATTATTATTAGATTACATTGCATTATTATTCTATTTCCAGTAACAAGATTGAAGATACATTCCTGAAAGTCAGCTGGAGATTATCTTGAAGCTACATACTGACTACAGTATTGGGTTATACAGGGTTAGTCAAATGAATAGGCCAATAAGAAAATTAATTTTAGACGAATGTATGTTTACTGTAACCAAACACAAACATATGCCAAGCGTTGCTGTGGCCCAATCCTGGTGATCTGGAAAATGTAGGCAGGTCAGGACAAGAGGGGGCCCTTGGATTGCCACCTAATGCCCCCCCCCTCCAAAAAACCACAATGTATAGGAGTGTTTAGGACTGGGAGTGATGGGAGTCGTAGTCTGACAATGCAAGGGCCTTGTCTCTTCCTTCCTTCCTTCCTTCCAGGGCAGCGGCCTGTGTGGTCCAGAACCAAGAGCTGCGGAAGAAGGTCCAGGACCTCGAGGTGCAAAACAGGTGCGTTGGGGCCCCTTTCTGGACCTAGAACCCGGAGACTGCGAAAACAGGGCGGAAGCGGGGAAGGCAGGGCTTCCCACCCCACAGGAAAGGACACGAAAGAGAGAGAGAGAGAGAGAAAGAGGCATAGACAGATACAAAAATACATGGATGGATGGATAGATAGAGATATATAGATGGAGAGATGGATGGAGAAATAGATGGATGGAGAGATGGCTGGCTGGCTAGATAGACAGATGGAGAGATAGATGGATTGATGGATGGAGAGAGAGACCGACAGACAGACAGATAGATGAATGGAGAGATTAATAGATGGATGGATGGATAGATAGAGATATATAAATGGATGGAGAGATAGATAGATAGAGAGAGAGAGAGAGAGAGAGAGAGATGGATTGATGGAGAGATAAGACAGACAGACAGATGGATGGATGGAATGATGGATGGATGGGGAAATGGATGGAGTGATGAGTGGATGGATGGTCAGATGGATGGAGAGATAGATAGATGGATGGATGGGTGGAGAGATGGATGGATGGAGAAATAGATGGATGGAGAGATGAGTGGATGGAGAGAAGGTTGGTTGGATGGATGAATGGATGGATGGATGGAGAGACAGATGGATGGAGAGATAGATAGATAGAGACAGGCAGGCAGACGGATGGATGGATGGAGAGATGGACGGATAGATAGATGGAGAGATAGATGATTTATGGATAGATAGATGGGTGGCTAGATGGATGGATGGATGGAGAAATAGATGGATAGAGAGATAGATGGATTGATGGATGGAGAGATAGATAGATGAATGGAGAGATGGATGGACGGATGGATGGAAGAATGGAGAAATAGATGGATGGAGAGAAGGTTGGTTGGATGGATGAATGGATGGATGGAGAGACAGATGGATGGAGAGATAGATAGATAGATAGATAGATAGATAGATAGATAGATAGAGACAGACAGACGGATGGATGGATGGAGAGATGGAGAGATAGATAGATGGAGAGATAGATGATTTATGGATAGATAGATGGGTGGCTAGATGGATGGATGGATGGAGAAATAGATGGATAGAGAGATAGATGGATTGATGGATGGAGAGATAGATAGATGAATGGAGAGATGGATGGACGGATGGATGGAAGAATGGAGAAATAGATGGATGGAGAGAAGGATGGATGGATGGATGGATGGAGAGATAGATAGATGAATGGATGGATGGATGGATGGATGGATGGATGGATGGAGAGATAGATAGATGAATGGATGGATGGATGGATGGAAGAATGGAGAAATAGATGGAGAGATGAGTGGATGGAGAGATAGATGGATGGATGGAGAGATGGATGGGTGGGTGGGTGGATAAATAGCCCGGCCTGACTCTTTTCCCCCTTGGTCCTCCCCTTGCGCAGTTCCCTCCTGGCCCAGCTGCAAAAGTTGCATGGACTCATCAAGCAGACGTCCCCCAAGGCGGCCCAGACCAGCACGTGCCTCTTGGTAACACGCAATCGGGGAGGGAGGGAGGGAGGGGGTGCTGCTGGACTGTCCCTCCCCTCCTCCTTTCCCCCTGGGGGCGATGGGTGTTGGGGTCTGGCCTCGTGTAGGAGGCTATGGACGGATGATGGGGGTTGCTGGACTGCAGTCCCCATCATCCTGCCTTCCTTGCTTCCCTTGCAGCTGTTGCTCTTCTGGCTGGGCCTCTTCCTGCTTCCCAGCGGCCGCGCCTTCTTTGGGGGGACCCAGCTCAGCCGACAAGGGTACAAGCCCTCCCGAGGCAAGTCCACACTGCCGGATTTAACACAGTTCCATCCCCAGGCAGAGGAGGGACTTGCGGTTTGGCGGGGTCTGAGGATCTGCTTTCCCTCCCCAGTGATTTCCAGGCACATCCTGCACCAGGGGAGCCTTCCCGACTCGGAAGGAGACGATGGCACCGCCGAGGGAGCGGACGGAACCAAGGACCGGGTTCCCGAGCAGAAAGCCTGGGCCAAGGCATCTGCTCCGGAACCGCTCCGGAACAACACAACGCAAGAAGAGAACGGTCTGGTGGAGAAGGACCCCGAGAGGCAAAGCCACGCCGATGAGATGTAATCACTAAGGCTGCCTCTGAGCATGCGCAAAGGGCAAGATGTTTGTATTCAGAAGTCACCAAGGGAGCCCCTGAGCATGCGCAGAGAGCATTACATGTCTATTTGGAAGGCACCTGGCTGCCTCTGAGCATGCGCAGAGAGCACTAAGGTCCTATTTGGAAGTCGGAAAGGGAGCCTCTGAGCATGCACAGAGCGCATTATATTTCTATTTGGAAGTCAGTCACTAAGCATGCCTTTGAGCATGCGCAGAGAGCATTACATGTCTATTTGGGAGTTAGTCACTAAGCATGCCTCTGAGCATGCGCAAAGGGCAATATGTTTGTATTCAGAAGTCACCAAGGGAGCCCCTGAGCATGTGCAGAGAGCATTACAGTCCTGTCTTGAAGGCATCTGGCTGCCTCTGAGCATGTGCAGAGAGCACTAAGGTCCTGTTTGGAAGTCAGTAAGGGAGCCTCTGAGCATGCACAGAGCGCATTATATTTCTATTTGGAAGTCAGTCACTAAGGGTGCCTCTGAGCATGCGCAGAGCGTGTCAGGGTCCAATTGGGAAGTTAGTCCCTAAGGCTGCCCTTGAGCATGCACAGAAAGCAATAAGGTCCTATTTGGAAGCCGAAGGAGCCTCTGAACATGTGCAGAGAGCATTACAGTCACTAAGGATGCCTCTGAGCGTGCGCAGAGAGCATTATAGAATCATAAGAGTTGGAAGAGACCACGTGGGCATTAGGGATCCGTGTGGAAACCCATCAGGGAGCCTCTGAGCATGCACAGAGAGCATTACATTCCTATTGGGAAGTTGTCATTGAGGGTGCCTCTGAGCATGTGCAGAGAGCATTACAGTCCGAGCCCCTGAGCATGCGCAGAGAGCATTACATTCCTATTTGGAAGTTAAGACACTAAGGGAGCCTCTGAGCATGTGCAAAGGGCAGTACATTTCTATTCAGAAATCACTAAGGGAGCCTCTGAGCATGCGCAGAGAACACTTAGGTCCTATTTGGAAGTCAATAAAGGAGCCTCTGAGCATGCACAGAGGGCACTGGGGTTCTATTTGGAGGTCAGTTGCCAAGGCTGCCTCTGAACATGCGTAGAAAGCACTCAGGTCCTATTTGGAAGTCAATAAAGGAGATTCTGAACATGCGCAGAGAGCATTGGGGTTCTATTTGGAAGTCAATAAGAGAACCTCTGAGCATGCGCAGAGAGCATCCGTGTTCTATTTGGAAGTTAGTCCCTCGGGATGCCTCTGAGCATGCACAGAGAGAGATTTACATGTCTGTTTGGAAGTCGCCATGGTTGCCTCACTAAGGGTGCTCCTGAGCATGCACAGAGGGCACTGGGGCCCTATTTGGGCCTGACCAGCCTGAGCCTGGGTGGCGTGCATTGAATATTCAGCATCTCATTATGAATATGCAGATACGCCCAAACCCTAAAGGATTGTTCTCATTGGTAAGACGGGAGGGAGCGGGTTTGTTTACGACCCTTGGGGATTTTATTTTTCATGCTGATTTATATATAGATTATGTATTATTAAATTACTTATTAATTAGTTGGGATTTTATTTTTCACACTGATTTACATATATATTGATTATGTATTATTAAATTGGTATTCAATAAAATATATTTTCCCAAGCTCCCAAGAGTGTAAACGATGCATTTGAGATCTTTCTCCTTCGATGCCATTAATCCTAATCCGCTCGGGATCCGTCATCCGAACGGAGTCCTGGAAGCGGGTCAGGAAGCCTTCCTCTGCGGCAGAAAGGGGGTCAGGCTGGATGCCCTTTGGGTTCCCTTCCAAGTCTAGAATTCAGAATCCATGGAGCCACCTACTCTGAAGGTTTCTGTCTCACACGGCCATCTGTCGGGAAGGCTTGGGTGGTGCCTCCTGTATGGCAAGATGGGGGGTCAGACTAGATGGCCTTTGGGGTTCCCTCCCCACTTGAGGCCTCTTTCCTTGGAGACGTTTGCACTGGACGGCCATCTCTATGTAGGGCTTGGATGGTGCCTCCCTCTATCACAGAAGGGCGGTCAGACTGGATGACCTTCGAGACCCCTTCGAATTCTAGGATTCAGTGTCCGGTGGAGTCTCTTTTTCTGGGGGTGTTTGTACTTGGATGGCCATCTGCCAGAAGGGCTTAGATGGTGCCCTCCTCTATGACAGAAGGGGGTCAGGCTGGATGACCACTGAGTTTCCCTTTGATTTCTAGAATTCAGGGGAGCCTCCTCCTCTATTGGATGGACATCTGTCGGGAGGGCTTGGATGGTGCCTTCTATGAGAAAAGGGGTCAGACTGGATGACCTTTGGGTTCCCTTCTAACTAGTGTCCAGAATCAGTGCAGTCTCCTCTGTTATGTATTAGGGGAGGGCTTGGAGGTGCCTCCCTCGATTGCAGAAAGGGGTCAAACTGGATGACCTTTGGGTTCCCTTCAAACTAGTGTCCAGAATCAGTGCAGTCTGTACGTATTAGACGGTCATCTGTTGGGAGGGCTTGGATGGTGCCTCTCTCTATTGCAGAAGAGCGGAATATAAATAAAGATTATTATTATTATTATTATTATTATTATTATAGACGGCCATCTGTCGGGAAAGCTTGGATGGTGCCTCCCTCAATTGCAGAAAGGGGTCAGACTGGATGACCTTTGGGTTCCCTTCGAACTAGTGTCCAGAATCAGTGCAGTCTCCTCTGTACGTATTAGATGGTCATCTGTCAGGAGGGCTTGGATGGTGCCTCCCTCGATTGCAGAAGAGGGTCGGACTAGATGGCCTTTGGGTCCATCTCTCCCCCAACTTGAGGCATCTTCCCCTGGATGGCCATCTGTATGTAGGGCTTGGATGGTGCCTCCCTCTCTATTGCAAGACGGGGTCAGGCTAGATGTCCTTTGGGGTTCCCTCCCAGGGCTCTGGCCATCTGTCCACTTGGCCGGACATGACAGATGAGCCTCCCTCCTCGTTGGCTTTGCCAGAACCTCCTCCACTCCTATTCCTCCTCGCCAGGGCGGCTGGACACAGCGCTTGACCGCTTGACCATCATCGTCCTCCTCTCCATCCCTTCATCGGCCATGGACCGGTCCCGCTGGCTCTCCCTGGCCTTCCTCTCCTTGGGACTCATGCTGGCCACCCACTGGGGTCAAGCCCTGGCCCGCCGGACCCACGAAAAGGACCTGGTGAGTCGCCCTTCGGGATCCCCAGAGGTCATCTAGTCCGGCCCAACCAAAGGGTCACTCTCCAAAAGAAAGGGGTCCCTCAAAGGTCATCTAGTCCAGCCCAGGAGTCCATAGCTAGGAGATAAGGACCCAAAAGGACTCTGATCCCTCCAAAGATATCAATATCATCATCATCATCATTATTATTATTATTATTGATGTTTACGGGGATGCTCTCAGCTAATTTTACCTAAATTGTAATATCATTACTTAAACTGATGATTATTTCTAATTGGTGATCACTATTTCTAATGGATAATGACTATTTCTAATGGATAATGATTATTTCTACTTGATAATTATTACTAATTGATTGTCAGTATTTCTAATTGTTACTTATTTCTAATTAATAATAACTGTTTCGGTTTGATAATAATTATCTCTTAAGTGGTAATGATTTTTTCTAAGTGATCATTATTATTTCTAATTAATAATTACTATTTCAAATTGATAATGATTATTTCTAGTTCACAATTATAATTTCTCATTGAGAATGATTATTTCTTAGTGATAACAACTATTTCTCATTGAGAATGATTATTCCCAATTGGTAATCATTATTTCTAATTAATAATAACTATTTCAAATTGATAATGATTATTTCTATCGGAAAATTATCTCTAATAGATAATGATTGTAATTACTATTTCTACTGGATAATGCCTATTTCTAATTGATGATGATTATTGCTATTTGATAATAATTAGTTCTCGATGTTAATTATTATTTCTAATGGAGAATGATTATTTCTATTTGATAAAAATTATTAGTTCTAATTGTTAATTATTATTTCTAATCAATAATCATTATTTCTATTTGATAATTATTACTAATCGATTATTATTATTTCTAATGGTTAATCATTATTTCCAATTAATACTTACGATTTCTGTTTGATAATAATGATCTCTAAGTGGTAATGATTATTTCTAACTGGCAATGGATAACAACTATTTCCAATCGATAATGATGATTTCTATTGGATAATTATCTCTTACTAGATAATGATTGTGATTATTATTTCTATTGGATAATGACTATTTCTAACTGATAACGATTATTGCTAATTGGTGATCACGATTTCTAATGGATAATGGCTATTTCTATTTGATAATAATTAGTTCTAATTGTTAATGATTATTTCTAATCAATAATCATTATTTTTATTTGATAAATTATTACCAATCGATGATCAATATTTCTAATTGTTAATCATTATTTCCAAATAATAATAACTGTTTCGATTTGATAATAACGATCTCTAAGTGGTAATGATGATTTCTAACTGGCAATGATTATTACTAATTGATCATGACTATTTCCGATTGATAACGATGATTTCCCGATCCCCGAAATGTGTTCGGAAGCTGGAAGAGCTGCAGGAGGTCCTGGAGAAGCTCCAGCACAAGGCCGTCTCCTCCGCTGCTTGGGAGAAGAAGAAGAAGCTCAACCTGGTGCCCCAGGTATATCATCATCATCATCATCATCATCGTCATCATCATCATCATCATCACACATACATACACACACACACACATACACACACACACATATATATACATACATACAGAAAGGGGAAGGAAGGAAGGGTAGAGAAGGAAGGAAGGAGGGAGAGAGAGAGAAAGGGAAAGGAGGAGGGAAGGAAGGAAAGAAGGAAAAAAAGAAAGGTAGGGAAGGAAGGAAGGAAGGATGGAGAAAAAGAGGGAGGGAAGGAGAGAAGGAAGGAAAAAAGGATAGAGAAGGAAGGAGAGAAGAAGGGAGAGAAAGAGGGAAGGAGAGAAGGAAAGAAAGAAAGGAAGGTAGAGAAGGAAGGAGAGAAGGAGAGAAAGAAAGAGGGAAGGAGAGAAGGAAAGAAAGGAAGGTAGAGAAGAAAGGAAGGAGAGAAGGAGAGAGAGAAAGAGGGAAGGAGATAAGGAAGGAAAGAAAGAAGGGTAGTGAAGGAAGGAAGGAGGGAAAGAGGGAGAGAAGAAGTAGGGAAGGAGAGAAGGAAGGGAGAAAGAGGGAAATAAGGAGGGAAGGAGATAAAGAAGAAAAGAAAGAAGGGTAGAGGAGGAAGGAAGGAGAGAAGGAGGGAGAGAATGAAATAAAAAAGTGAAAGAGGGAAGGAAGGAAAGAGGGAGGGAAGGAAGGAAGGAGAGAAAGAGGGAGAGAAGGTTGGCCACAGCAACATGTGGCAGGTACGGTTAGTATGTATACACACACACACATATACATAGCAAGACACTATAATGTTGTTGTTGTTGTTGTTATGATTATTATTCCCTGAAGATTAAGAGTGCCACCGGATCCACTTCTAATCTTATTTTCTACTGCTGTCTCAATCTCTCTCCATATCAATGTATATCGATATTCATATTAGTCATATTCATAATGATAATCCGATGGCTTTCCCGCCTCTCCTCGAGGCCGAGCAATAAGCAGAGCGGCCTAATGAGGACACTAACGAGGGATGAGAAAGGGAGCTGGCCTTCCAAGCCCTTCCTGGCATGGAAACACACTCGTTCGGGAGCCCAGGTCGCCATTGCCGCCGCAGGGAGTTAATTTGATTTCCGTGGATTAATGGAAGGGCCAGCCATTTGTCAAGCCGAGCCAAGGCTTGGCGCAGGGGGCTCCCCGTTCGGATCCAGCCCCAAACGTGTCCTGGGAAATGGGCTGGAGGTGCACTTGGCCAATCTCTTGCAACAACCAAACATCTGAGCAGTCATAACGGCATTATTATTATTATTATTATTATTATTATTATTATTATTATTAGAAACACAACAAGATGAGTCCACAACAGACAAGATCACTCTGCCGGCTGTATTATTATTATTATTGTTATTATTATTATTATTATTATTATTATTATTATTATTAGAAACACAACAAGATGAGTCCACAACAGACAAGATCACTCTGCTGGCATTATTATTATTATTATTATTATTATTATTATTATTATTATTGTTATTTGAAACACAACAAGATGAGTCCACAACAGACAAGATCACTCTGCCGGCTGTATTATTATTATTATTATTATTATTATTATTATTAAAAACACAACAAGATGAGTCCACAACAGACAAGATCACTCTGCCGGCTGTATTATTATTATTGTTGTTGTTGTTGTTATTATTATTATTAATTATTATTTGTATTGGATCAATAATTGCATCATCATCATCAACATCATCATCATCATTATTATTATTTGAAACACAACAAGATGAGTCCACAGCAGACAAGATCACTCTGCTGTCTATTGTATTATTATTATTATTATTATTATTATTATTATTATTATTATTATTATTTGAAACACAACAAGATGAGTCCACAGCAGGCAAGATAATTCTGCTGGCTGCATTATTATTATTATTATTATTATTATTATTATTATTATTATTATTATTATTATTATTTGTATTGGATCAATAATTGCATTATTATTA